ATTTTTGATAAAACCAATTTCTTCTAATTTCAAATATGTTTTCCCCTGAATTTGTGATAATTCGTTATCACGCAAGTGCTAAATTCGTGACACATTTATGATCTAGCATGTGCTTCTGCAAAATGCGTGTTTCATTTAAAATCACTTTGAAACTTAACGGGGGACTGTCCCGCACGATGTGTGATGGTTGGTAACTATGGCATAGATAACTGCCGGGCCCTAGGTAAAATTGGTAAAAATGCACCTGATCGGACCTAGAGACACTGAGCCTTTTGTGGGGTCTACTCGGGCGAAACTCTTAATGCTCATACATTCTGAGATATTTTTAAACAGATATAGCATTTCAGAAATATCTAAAACAGTATTTTGTTTAAAAGATTCAAGAATATTGAGAACAAACTATGGTCAAGTTATATAGGCCTATATGTTATCATTTAGGGCCTATTAGGCATTTCATGAGTCTATGATATATTATAATATTGATAACATCAATAGAACATGTATAGGTGGAATTTTGTCCAATCCGTCGTGAAATGTAGGCCTACTGAATAGGCCTACTTAGTGCGTCTGAAAACACTTGTAAAAATACCGTAGTACTCGCCGCTACTTGGGCTCGAATTCAGCCCTGGCCCTCAGGTGCAAGCTTGGTGGTCTAGAGGTATGATGCCAGACTAGTGATCTGGAACTGGAGAACTGTGTTCGAGTCCCACTGGAGAACAACTTTCACACGCACTGATTATTTAGTACATTTTCACGACAAGTTGGGCAAAATTACACATAGAGGCCCCCCTAATTGATTTTCCTGACGCAAATCCAGGTATTGTTTATTCCATCACAATAATAACAATTACCATTTAATAATAGAACAGTCATCTCGACCTACTTGCAGTGAAGTGAATCTAAAATGTATTTATGAAGCTATGATGATCTGAAGTGTTTAAAATCGTACACAATAATAGTTGAACCAACTTTAAAATACCACAAATACAAATGTGTGTGACGATATTTTATTGCTTTAGAAATGTGATTTCAAAAAGTATATTAGTGCATCATGCACTGAGTAGGTCTATTCAATACATATTCACGACAGGTTGGGCAAAATACATATAGGCCCCCTAATTGATTCTCCTGACGGAAATCTAGGTATTGTCTATTCCATCACGATAATAACAATTACCATTCAATAATACAACATTCATCAACCTACTTGCAGTGAAGTGAATATAAAATGTATTCGTGAAGTTATGATGATCTGAAGTGTTTAAAAACGTACACAATAATAGTTGAACCAACTTTAAAATACCACAAACACAAATGTGCGTGACGATATTTCATTGCTTTAGAAATGTGATTTCAAAAAGTATATTAGTGCATCACGCACTGTGTAGGCCTATTCAATACATATTCACGACAGGTTGGGCAAAATACATATAGGCCCCCTAATTGATTCTCCTGACGCAAATCCAGGTATTGTCTATTCCTTCACGATAATAACAATTACCATTCAATAATACAACAGTCATCGACCTACTTGCAGTGAAGTGAATATAAAATGTATTCGTGAAGTTATGATGATCTGAAGTGTTTAAAAACGTACACAATAATAGTTGAACCAACTTTAAAATACCACAAATACAAATGTGCGTGACGATATCTCATTGCTTTAGAAATGTGATTTCAAAAAGTACATTAGTGCATCACGCACTGAGTATTCAATACATATTCACGACAGGTTGGACAAAATACATATAGGCCACCTAATTGATTCTCCTGACCCAAATCCAGGTATTGTCTATTCCATCACGATAGTAACAATTACCATTCAATAATACAACAGTATTATCTGAAGTGTTTAAAAACGTACACAATAATAGTTGAACCAACTTTAAAATACCACAAACACAAATGTGCATGACGATATCTTATTGCTTTATAAATGTGATTTCAAAAAGTACATTAGTGCATCGTATGTAAGGGCTTGATTAGACCAGATTAGACCTATTAAACGAGCCCCCAATACTGCACTGCCCATACCTACGCCAAGACTGGACCTGAGTATTATTAGTGGTTACATAACATTTGCTATGCATATATCATGCGCTAGAAGTGGAAGACCATAAGGTATTGGGAATGTGCCTCTCTCTTGTATCAGTGTAAAAGTGTAATGTATAGGATAGCGTGGATTTAAACATTTTCCTAATGGTAATGTTCAAAATAAGTGTCAAGGAAAGTAAGTATGATTGTTGGAAAAAATGGTCAACATTTTATTTTGATTTCTCACCCTGACCCTCGCCTGGGCGAAGTGGGCGAAGGTTTGGATCCGCATCTAGTTAGCATGAATTTTGTAAGCCAGGACCCAGTAGTATTTTGTTACGTTTCTTCTCAGAGGGGGGTTCGTCGGAACCCCCTGAACCCCTTTGGATCCGCCACTGGTTTGTGTGTCCACAACGAATTAACACCTTGGTGACATTTAAAAGTTCGGCAGAGAGCTCCAAACTGGAGAAAATTTGTTGTCGTCCTTCATCCATCCCCAATTAACTGGGTCCTGTTCAAGCTTCCCCTCGAGCCAAAGCTCCTGGATGCCATGCAGGTATTCTGTGGAAAGCTGACAACTCAATAGCAGCAACATCACTGTCTACAGTCTTGACAAGAATGCATGGAAAATTTTCAGCAGCATGTTTAACATAAACAAACATAAGTTCATCTGCCTCTTCCATGTTACATAGCAATGGTTGCAGATCTTCATACTGGTTTACTACAGCTCCGTCTCCCAGAGACTCTACAAACAATCCGTGGTTTGTGTCAATGTTCTCAACTACTTCGTTTACAATTAATGGAAACACTCTTCTGATTTGTTGTCATCACATCTCAGGAATGTAGACCAATTGTTGGGCATACTCCCGCTGGCTTTGATGACCCTCCTCACACCAGAGCCGCGGTTCGAACGCGTACCAGACTTTAAACTGTCTTTAAAATATGTGTGTAGTGTAAAAAAATTCGACATCAATCGGACCTATTCGATGTCGAATATTGACTAATATTGAATTGTATATTTGTGGAAAATATTTCAGCCGTTCCAAATCTCTATCCTATTCTTCCTTCTTCCTTTATTCTTTCACAATTTGCACTTATTCATACTTTTTATTCATAATTTTATACACTACACACATAGGCTAGTCACTAGGTTTAGGCCTAGGCTATGCCTATTACTATATTATTTAAATATACAATTTTAATAGATAATATTAATTTAACATAGACATAGTAATTCATACACTATTTTTGTGCTTTTAGACCAAGTGGTTGAGGAGTTATGATAATCATATGTTGTATAAAGGTCATTGACCTCTGACCCTGAATATTTGGTCAACGCAGCTACTAGAAGGTGGCAAAAATGTTTCAATAAATGTTGATCCCAAAAACCTAGGTGTAGCCACTATTTTTGTGCATCTAGGCGAACTGGTTGAGGAGTTATGACAATTATAGTTGTATAAAGGTCATTGACCTTTGACCCTGAATATTTAGTCAACACTAAAAGACAAAAATGTTTCCATAATTGTTGACCCCTAAACCCCAGGTGTAAATACTATTTTTGTGCTTTTAGAGCAAGTGGTTAAAGACTTATGACCCAGAACATGTTTGTATAAAGGTCTTTGACCCTTGACCCTGAATATCTCAACGCAACTATAAAAAGGCAGCAAAAATTTTTCCATAATTATTTACGTATAGACGTACAAAAATATACAAAAAGTCCTTTTATTAGAGTTTGTTTAAGGTTAAACCATATTTAGCCTCTACTAATACTATTTCAGCTTTAATCTAAAGATGCCCAAAAATGTGCAACTAAAGATTATTTGGCAACTTAATTACTGTAATAGAACTGAAATTGGGGTAGTCTCTGAGTTTGGTGTTGAATACAGAAGAGTGTTAGCTTTGTGTTAAAACACTGAAGATTGTTATTAGGTTAGTACTCTGAAAAAGTGGTCTCATATTAGAGGGGTTTCGGAATTAAAGAGATCTCGAATTGGAGGGTGAAATATACTTAATTGTATATATTTTTGCTTAGAAAAGTAGGGCACAAAGTTACACCACTGTGTAGCAGTAGCTGCTGGCAGGGCGACTACACAACAGTTGCATTATTACGGTTTCATGACTCAATCATTTAACATATTTCACATAACTAACAGATGTACTGTACAATTATTTTTTTGGTATAGATCTGAAATCTACATTGCACCATCAGGTGTCCAGAAGGAACGTATCCAAGTGAGTACTCTAAAGCAAATTAGTTTTTAGGTTAATTAATAATTTATTTAATTGACATTTCTTGTGATTTGTAGTTCTCATATGGGGATATATTGTCATCATCATCATCATCATCATAATCATTTCATTGTCTCTGAGGATGTATATTATTATTACTATATATTATTATAAATATTAGCATTATTTTATATTTAATATGACTCATACCAGTAAGCACTGGTGGCGCCAGTGGGGGTCCCCTGTCAACCGACACAGGACTTGGTCGTCGGATCAGAAATTAAAAGAATAATAATTTGCTTATCCAAATAATGTTATTATGACTGCCAATCCCTAATATTGTGGTCTTAAAGCATATTTTGGACAATACTAAGCCATAAAAACTCTCCCCGTGAACCCCACAAGTGAGTTTTTGATTTTGCTTCTTTTTTAAGCCTGAGGATATGTTTGTGCAAGATATTGATAATGTAGATATCTCATTACCTCCTCCAGCAAAGAAACTGAAGAAAAGTCAATGTACACCGCTGTTTATGAATGCCTACACGATGAGAGGTAGGCCTACACCTTTTATTTTTTTAGAATCTGGATTTATATTGTGCCAATCACAGACCGAAGAACATACAACATGCTGGCGTCAGTATTTCCCTGGTCACTGGATTGCGAAACCAGCACATTTTTGTGCAACTTCCTCTGCTCCCTGGGGAGTATCCAAAGTCTTGCTTCTTTTAATACATGCACAACCTAATACCTTCAATGCAACACCATCCTACCAGGTACCCATTTATACCCCTGTGGGTGGAGAGAGGCAAACGTAAGTGCCTTGCCCAAGGACACAAGCAATGCAAAGGGCATCAGTATCAAATTCCCGATCTTAGGATCAGAAATCCAACACCTTACACGCCACGTCACATGCTCCTACATAAACACACGACACATATCCATGCATAAATTATATGGATTGGAATTTATATATATTTCAGATACAAGATATATTAGTGATTATTGTGTATAATATAATATTTATTTGGACTTGCAATTTTACATCAGTAGCACACTTTGAAAACCAAAGGTGCGTACAAAACACAAATTTAAAGGCAAATGATCACAAGATACATCAAATTACGAGAACAACAAAAACTTAAAACCAACTCAAAACAGCTTAATTAATGACTTCTCTCCCTCACCCCACTTCCCTGATAATTCAAATGTTATCCCTCCCCACTAAATAAAAATGTACTCCACTTTACCTCTTATTTTCAGAAACCAAATCCCAAATACCCTTCTTTTCTCCCTAAACAATGGAAACATTTACCCCTTCCCCTTAAATAATATAAAACTTAAACAAAATATAACATCAAAACCAGTAATGCAGAAAAGAAAAATGAAACTGCAAAAATGAAAATAAAAAACGTAGATAAACCGTAAAGCTAGAACATAGAATTCAGTATCTCACTGCAGAGTTTCCAGGCTCTTTTGATATATCTTTTACAAAACTTGTCAAAGATATTTTCATACTTTCTGCTAAACAACGATGAACAGCCCAAAATATAATGTATTTTAAAATTTTAATGCAACCTCCTTAAAGTCAGTTTTTACATTATAATTCACTTACAACTTCAGTCCTTGATGATTATAAGAAATAATTGTTAGAAGCAAACAGTACTATAATTAAGTATTAAAGTAAATAGTTAAGTATTAGGTCATTCCCATGAAGCAGGGATAGCATGCAATGTATTACATTAATATAAAATCACTTCCGAGGCAAAATTCCTTAAGTACATTTGTCTGCCAGAAATCTTGTGGGAATAGACATATCATGCAATGACATCATCATACCATGTGGGATGCACACTTTATTTGGTTGCTTAATGAAGCCTTCGGTTAACAACTCAACCTAGGCAGGCTCTGACGTTATCAATTTTCATCCCTATGCAGGAGCAGGTGCCGTGATTCACACCCACTCAAAAATGGCGGTGATGGCTACCATCATCTACCCTGGAAAAGAGTTCCGAATTACTTATCAGGAAATGATCAAGGGGATCAAAAAATGCACCAGTGGGGGATATTACAGGTGACAAGTATAAACATAATAACTTCAATGCATCTATGTTTAATTTACAGGGGCGGTAAAAAAAAGAGAGAAAAAGAAAAAAATGATAGTCCAGAATGCCTCAAATGTTATGTTCGGGCGTCTAGAACACAAAAATTTCACGGGGGCATGCCCCGGACCCCCTACGACAGTGTTGTCTCAATCGGCCCAACTTTCGGCCCTCCCCCCTTCCGGTCCCCCTTTTGGACATTTCTGGATCCGCCCCTGATTTAGTTGTTACCAAACATCAGATTGATGCTTAAAATAGAATATAAGGTGATGATGAGAATATTATATAACATTAAGTATAACATTTCATAAAAGGTGCAGCCTTGACACTGAACAGAAATTGTGAAGCCAAACAGTGTATTAAGTTGTAGTGTTTTACTCTTTTATACTGTTAAAACTACAAAATATAGTTGACTTAAGACTAAAAAATTATGAAGCTAAATAAAGACAAGTGAATTAATTAAGATATTGTATGTAATTTAAAATACCTAAAAATTACACACTACTACTACATGACAATACTAATTAAAAAGTAATAGTAACAATATTATCTACACAGTTAAAACATTACTAGTTTTCATTTCAGATATGATGATGAACTTGTGGTACCAATAATTGAGAATACACCTGAAGAGTGTGACTTGAAGGTGAGTATTTTACAAAGGTCATCTACCTCATCATGATCATTTTCTTGGTCTTATAAACACAAGATTTTAAGCTTGATGGGCGTGTCAACCCCTCATTGTTTCTATTGTCTCCGACACACAATATTCTTTATAGACAGGGCTGACCATTGTGTAATACAATGTACCTGGCGGTTATTTGAATCTGTTCAACCATGAAGCCTCTGTGGTGTAATGGTTATAATGCTCGCCTTTACAGCGGGAGTTCGCAGGTTGGAATCCCATTGGAGGCATTTTATTACACAATGTATTTATAGATGATTTATATATAATTTTATTATATTATAAATTTTATTTAAGATATATATATATATATATCAACAAACTCAGGAGGATCCAGCTGTTAATGGCAAACCCTTTGCTCCTCCTCCTCACCCCCAGTTCTTTGAGTGCCTTTATTTGGAATGAAATAAAATACAATTTAACAATTCTGATGTTCCAATGTATATATCTATATTCATATTCTAAAATGTATTGCTAACCAGGAGCGTATGGCAAGAGCAATGGTTGAGTACCCTGACTCATGTGCAGTGCTTGTCAGGAGGCATGGTGTGTATGTGTGGGGTGAAACTTGGCAGAAAGCCAAAACGATGTAAGTATCAACATATAACAAAGCATAAACCTTCAATTAAACAATAAAATGCAGTAGCTTAGTTTCAGAATTCATTTAAAATTTCTTAACAAAAGTTTGTATGTGGGAGTATTTATGATAACTTATAGTATTTACCTCTGTCTATCCCTTTTTTTTGTTTTGCGAATGCTTTCTTTTGCATAGACCACAAAATTTTCAAACGAAAAGTAAAATTAAATTGAAAGTCTTGAATGTAGAAGTAAATAAAATTGTGACAAGGTTTGTTGTGGACAGATGAGAGTAGGTGCTACCCTTAGGAGAGAAAAAAATGTGTAAGAGCTAGTGCACACCTCAAGCGTTACAGTATAAAGTACTATATAAATCTACTATATAACATTTATGTTATGGAAACAGGAAGGCCAGGTGAGAATGTAGAACGAAAGAATGTGAAAAGGATGTCATTAGCTATAAAAAGGGGTCATGATTAGAACTAGTTAATCTTCACATGTTGTATTACATCATTTAATCTGCTATCATCGGTCATGCAGTAAAATAATCAAACTCCAACCTAAAAGCAATGACAACACAAAGGGGCCATATATAGGCAATACTCTTTCAACAAAAATAATAGTTGCAATCAAACATAGTAATGTCATAACCTAGGCCCTTGCTTGACTCCAGAGAATATACATGCTTTAATGAATTTTGGTTTATTTGTTTATTATGTGTGGTGTAATAATTACGATACAGTTTGATGTTTTTTGTTTTTTTTTTCTTTAGGTGTGAGTGTTATGATTACCTTTTCGAGATTGCAGTACAAATGAAACAATGTGGATTTGATCCTGCAAAAAGGCCAGAAAGTGAAAATGGAATTATTTAAGATGATTCTTTTTCAATTTTAAATTTAACCCCTCCTTTGAGACATCCCTATTAATCAACATCCACATGCAGGAGATCTGTTTAATTGAGCTTTATAATATCGTGAATTTGCGAGAGATAGTTTACTTTCCGGGAGATTCGCGGGTGTGCGGGAGGCCTTCCCAACTTCTAGGAGACTACTGTGACTTCTGTGAGACTTGGAACCCCTGACTCCCTCAAAACTATAGTTTAATCAAATATAATTTCATGTTGTAATGTTATTCTTAAGGGGCGTAAATTTCATAACTGAAAGGAAAAGATGTTATAAAAATGCTCATTAACAGAATATCATGTAACAGGTCTGGAATTGTGTAATATATAGTAGCATGAGCGTATGCAATTTCCTTTTACACTTGAACACATTATGCTATGATTACAATTTATACAACGAGCTATGGTAACATACATACACAAGAAGTCTATTCCCTGGTGGATATGTAACGATGTAGATATAAACATGTCACAGTGTATCTATCTATATTTTGAAAACTTAATAAAGCTGTAATGATAGCTATCAAAATACATTTGAAATTTGATTACTCTACAAAATTTGTTTACTTTAATGTCTGTAAAATTAGTTATGGTATGTTGAAATGAAATGTATATTATTTTAAATACGAAAAATTTAAATTTAAAGATAAACAGTTTGATTCGAGATCATATAAACAATACATTTCAGTATTTGGATTAATTTGTATGTTCATTTAAGTAACCATATTAACTTTCAGTTAGAACAAATCATTTTTTTTTTTGTAAATGAATGCGTACATTTTAATGCACAGGTACCATATTTATTCAAATAAACGGCTGGGGCGTTTATTGTCTAGAAAGGTTTTTGTGTTTTTTTTTTTGTTTTTTGTTTTTTGTTTTGGTGGTAGGGCGTTTATTCGAGGGAGGCGTTTATTTCCTTTTTAATGTTTTTGTGTAAAATGGATATGTATGTACTCAAATAAACACCCCTTAATTTCACTGTAATCTACCTTCAAAATTTTGTTATTGCGTGATGATAAAGACTTAATTAATTCCAACCAGGTTAGAAAAAATGTAATACTAATGGAGTATAACATTAATATGTATTAACTGGTATTAAGAACGATGTAGCTTTCATCAGTTTTGTTTACAGTTATTTAGAGGGAGTTTATTCAAGGGAAATTCCAAATGAGTTTCTGGAGGGGCGTTTACTTGAGTGGGCGTTTATTTAAAGTGGGGTCTTATTCGAATAAATCCTTAACTAAACCACTACTTTTTATATATAAAAAAGAAACCCTCTAACATTCAATTAAAAAAATTAATTCTTGGTTTAAAAGGATTAAGTGTATTAACTTCCAATAAGAGATTGAAAACCCCTATTTTATGTGACAAATTATTAAAAAAATAGAAGCTAAGGATACAAATAAATTATTATGTCCGTTTTGTACAGATCGTGTGAGCAGAATATTCTCGGCCCTCTAAAGTGTTTTTTGTTGCTAACTAGTTAATTAATAATACATATGGTCTGCCCTAGAGACTTTTCTCTTATAATTAGAAGTAGGACTAGAGAAAAGTGAAATTATATTTGTACAATATTCTGTCGCCACGATTTAAAGCTACAGCGTAACTTGCTTTATTCATTCATTCATACATTTTAATTATTCAAAGTTATTGCAGTAAAACTGTGTGATAATTTTGTACAAAACATTTGAAATTTAATGTGAAAAAAATAATTTTTATATAGAACTGGCATTGCAAAATAGGGCTTCATTCATTTTTTTTTCGCCTTCACTTTATTTAATTTATGAAAACGCTAAAGAAATTAATTCAGAGCTTTTCATATTTTTGGTCTGAATAGAAATGTAAATCAAAACCTTAATCTTATAAATCATTAGACGATTTAATATACTGTACACTACACTTTCGATTTGGCGCCTCTCAATGCATAAACATAGGACTCTGGTTTGTTTTTATACCCACTATACAAAAATTGTGATGACGTCATCTTTGGTGACTAATTCGGCCTATTGTTTGTCATTTTTTTGATGGTATTTGTTGTTTCTTTTGTCTTTGTTTCTTCCTCATCTCAATTGTTTCTTTTATTTAACTTCTATCTGTTGGAAGTACGTAGAGACGATTTATTGTGCGCTAAGTCTTCAGCCATTACCATCAATACAATCAGTCTTCCCCCAACAGACTTTTTATGAAAATCCATAGACTGACCAGCAAATCTAAGGGTGTGTGCGAGGCACATACAAATGCTTTATTCAGCCGTCCGTTAGTCTTAACTATTTTCTTTTCTTGTTCTAAAGTTTCATTTTGAAAGTTACTATATAGGCCTATATCTTAAACTTACAAAATAGACACTTTCACATATCTTTAATGATATATACTCTCTGATAAAATGTGAAAACTTCTTATTTTTTCAGTCGTCATTGTCAACATCATCACCCTTACAATCGTTACCATCATCGTCACCATTTCCATCATTTTCATCATCGTTATCCGTTATCATCATCGTCGTCGTTGTTGTTATTGTTGTATTACTCATACTGAAAGCTAATTTATCAATCGGTAACTTGCATATTGTTGCCATTCAGACTATTCGGCCCTTAACGATGATGAAATACATCAAGACTTTTAATAGAAATCAAATCTAATTATCAATAATATAACAAAATTGTAAATTTTAATTTCAATTTTAGTGCGTGCTTCAAATACTATAAATTGCCAATATCCGTTTAAAATTACTTTCACATATTCACAGGTAAGACAAAAATGGATAAAATGTAAATTTAATGTATATATACATACATAGGCCTACCCACATACCAACCTCATATAAATCCGTATTTTCATAAAATACAATTTTTGGCAACAGCTATTATTAATTACGAAGTCGAAGTTAAAAAAGGTAACAGTAATTTGATAGACAATCACAAAAACAGGTGATTTATTACCGTACTTCTTACAGTCACACTAATCCAGGCCAGAATGTATTTCAAATTTGAGTTTAAAGTCATTTTAAGCCTTTAATTTCATTTATAGTTTTTATATAGAAACGATATGCATTATAATCCACATTTAATTGTAAGCAAAATGATCAACAGGTTTTGGACCATGTGAGTTCAAAAGAGAGAGATCGACTGGGGTCCTTGAAACTCTAGTATAAACTATTCCGTTAAGGGTCCAAGGGAGTTTCATGGAAAGTGTTTTATTAATAATTCGATTTTAATAAAGTAATGGTGAAAACAATAAACATATCCGGGGGTAGCTCATCAACACTTGCATTCCAACAAAGTTTAGAGATTTTTACTTCCTTGACGTCAGTAATGGATTTGATAAAATATAAAATCTGAAATTGAGACGAACGATTTATGATGGAGGAAGAAATGGAGGATACGGCAGCAAACGCGTGGAACCTTTTAAAACGAGAGAAAATATTTTTTTTAAGTGCATAAGATCTAAATTAATTCGGATCATTACAGGTCTAGCAAAAATTTATTTAATGCAGTTTCTATTCTGAATTGATTTTACACACAGACACACGCACACAGAACTATTCTATTCACACATAACGTTTGGGTCTATAAAGAATTAAAGAGGGCTGACTAAATTAATTAAATAATGTGGTGCTTAGTAAGTCCCATTTCTTGGCTTGCTCAGATGCTTTTAGTGGTGATTGGAAAAAAAATACCTGTACCGTCGCAGGATGTGAACCCAGAACACTGGGAAGGCAAGCATCTTAACAACGCAATTTCATCTGCACTACTTTACTATTCTAGTCGTGATATAAGATAAGATAAACTTTATTGCCATGACTACAAAACAAGGCGAAAATGAAAATTTTCCTCGATGCAAAAAATAAAGTATGAAATAAATAAGAACGATTAATTGCACTTAAAAATAATATATAGTGTACTTGGATCCAGCCCCGTAAGAAAGAGGTTGCGTGAATGTGCGAATTGAGTGTCTCAAGGAATTCTTGTCGGAGGAAAAAAATGTTTACAGCAATTAAGTTTGCTTTTTGTTTATCCTGTCACCGACAAGGGTGTTGTCCTGTCATTTTTGTCCTTGTATTGTTGTTATAACTAAAAATAAATAAAATGAAAATGAAATGAAGAGCCCCTGGTAGGGGTGCAAGGTTAGAATTAATTTGAGTTGGTATTTTGCTTGACTTACAATTTATCATGGTAATTTTCTGATAAGCTTTATAAAACAATTTTTTTTTCAACAAATTAAAATGTCTTGCATTTCAATCGACGGAGTCTTCCTACCGTCTTTCTGAGTTATTTACAACATAATCATTGTTTAATGGCTGTGAAATATCTTACTACCGTATATCATACTATATATGTTTACAACTATTTTTTTAATTGAAAATGATTGTCTATGAATGTTTTGCCACAAAATTAACCTAGTGGAAATTGGAATAGTCTATTTTTGCCTTAAACGGCTAGTAACATTTTTTTAATTGTTACTCGTCAGTCTCATTTCTGTCGTAGGTTGCCGTAAAGTCGCATGTTCTAAGTTGATGGCCATGGAAAACTCTCTGGATCAACCCTTTCAAAGACCTATGATTTCAGGGATATTCATTTAATTATTAAGTGTTCTCAATCTCAGATCCAACTATCGGCGCCAGCTGGGTGGGGGGGGGAAGCAGGGGACAGGTCAGCCCCTCCCCCTTGGACAGAGCTCGTCGGGAAGTCAGACTAAAAAATATATAAAAATAGACCCACGCCAAGCCAACACCATGTCTGTCACAATCAGAGAGTGCCATTTCTGGCCATTCAGACGTTCCTATTCTTAAAACAAAATCTCATTTGGGAGGGTGAACACCCTCTCAAACCACCAACCAGCTCTGACCTACCAACCAAACTTCCCCCTGTCGGACAGCTCAGCTCCCCCTCCCCGAAAATATATGCTAGAGCCGCCACTGGAGCCTGACCCTATAGAGATAATGTAGGTACTGGTTCGGACTCTTTAGTAAAGAAATCACTTTCGAAGGTCTGACAAGAGGAGCCCGGTCAGAGCCGGAAGCATTAGGATTCTTGCCGTACGTAGTCAGAGACTGATGTTCATTATTTCGATTTTTAGTTAAAACCAGTAGGCCTAAATGCTCCAGTTATTTCGAAACAATTGCCTGAAGACCAGTTCACTGATTTTGCATATATTAACGAATTTCTTTCTTTTAAACAACTAAAAAAACACTTATAGTGCAAAATACTTCCAAAGTGGTTCAGAGATTTTATTTGCATAGAAGACAAACACCCGGAAATGGAGGCGAAATGTATATCGATGGAGGAGGAGGAGGATTACCCGGTGCAAACACGTGGAACCGTCTAAAACGACACAATTCACTTGAGTATACGAAAGCTCAGTTTTCATTCTGGTTTTCATTCCCAATGGAGGTAATAGACCTACGTTTTTTTTAAACAAATAAATAATTATTGTGGATACGCTAATCTCATAACAAAATAATTTTAATAACTTTTAAAAATATTTTACGTCCTTTTCAGTGTATGGTGGACTATTTTTTTAGAGGAGTGTGGAATAGTATTTTTTTTTCTTCTACTCTCTGTTCATTGACAGGTATTTTAGTTCCACCAAACTTCGTTATTTCGCAATGGAGGTCCATTGTTAAACATCACCGCCCTTGAACATTGTCTTGACAAGTGTCATAGCCAAGTAGCAGTCTTTCTGACCATGTTTTTGTCTTCTGTGGCTCGCCATAGAGAGGAACATTACTGGCGTGTATTTTGACATTCAGGAAAAAATATCCTAGATGAGACCTTAGATGTTGTTAAGTGGCTTTGTTGCTGGATTTAGCTTTGTTTCATAAGTCTATTGGAAATAGGCTTTGGGACCAAATGCTCACAATTTCTGGGGTTTTAACATGAGACGATTAAATGTTTATATTAGAATAACTTAAAGTTGCTTATTGTAACTAGGCCTATATTAGGCCCCATGAGTCCTATTTTTGTTGGATATTTTTTAAGTGGGCATGGGAGAACCTTTAATGCAATGATTGAAAAAGAAATTAAAATCAAATTCTTCACGAATAGCCAGCTAAGTTAAGGTTCTCAATTTGGTACTTAATTAGATATGTCAATCAACAAAGACTTGATGTTGATGATCGAAATTCCTACACTGACAAGAATATTCATATTCCCGCGTCATTTTGCACCATGACATTCCGACAAACACAAGCTACAGTAATTAAGTTATGATTACTTATTAGTATTTTAACCTGTCTTCACAAGGTAGACGTAGCTACGGTAATTAAATTATGATAATTAATTAGTATTTTAACCTGTCTTCAAAAGGTAAACGTAGCTATGGTAATGAAATTATGATTATTAATTAGTATTTTAACCTGTCTTCAAAAGGTAAACGTAGCTATGGTAATGAAATTATGATTATTAATTAGTATTTTAACCTGTCTTCAAAAGGTAGACGTCATGCACCTAGTGATAGTCAGGGGTGGCGCCAGCCCCGTCGGGGAGAGCTGCCCCCCCCCCCCGTCGGGGAGAAAAAGCAAAAATTATATGTATTTTTTACATATTAGTAGACTATAAAATCGATTAAATAAACGTTCTTTCAAACCCCTAAATTGTCAAAATTTTCGTGGGCTTCGCCCCCAGGTTCACTTTCGAAGCCTTTTATAATCGAAGCTCGACCACGCCCACTTTGCTTTCGTCGGGGAAATCTGATCCCTCGTCGGGGACCGCCCCCCCCCCCAACCCCGTCGGGCAAATCCTGGCGCCACCCTTGGTGCTAGTTGGTTTTCACGAAGGAGAACATGGCGCTACAATAAATAGTCATGGCTCTGCATTAACGGCGGGTTTTCAAGAGTTCAGTCCAAAAGGGTTGCTAAAATAGGACAATGGATAAGGACCAGTGGTTTATGTTTTACGAAACTTACCGAAAATAACACTGAAGTAGCACATTAGATATAATTAAGCTTTCTATATTTGTGTTGTTGGTTTATTTCACTAAACTGAACACCACATGCGCTTTATAACAATAAAATATAAGGTGCCGGTATTTGTTATAATGACATGAGCTTAGATAGGTGGTAATGCGAATAAAATTGATGAAACGTAAATGACTAACCACGATATTGGAAACAAGTAATGTATCGGCCCACTCAATCATCACTTTTTAAATCATAAATATTTCTACTTTCCTCGTACGACAAATTGAAATATGAATACTTATGAGAAATACAAGACACCTTACTTACTAGTTATTAATATGCATGCGCATTGATTTGTTTTATCATTGCAGTGATCGGTTGTTTATAGCAAAGTGCCAAAGTGTGAAGGCGGTTGAAATCGAAATGTATAAATACTGGGACGGAACAACCGGCTCACAGACTGGTAGGCATACATCATCTGAAACAAACGCATGAACATGAATACTGTTTCACTCTATCTTGTTTTAATATTGGCTACGGCACATTCGAAGCCGACAAAGATCCACAACTTTGGGAGTTGGAAGCTGAGTTCAATGTCTAGAAAAGGTCATCCTGAAATAGTTTTGTCAGAAGCCTTAAGTGGACCAGTTCAATTTGAACACTCGTATATGCTGACATCATCTGCTGATAAAAACGATTTAGAGATTGAAAAGACAAGAGATGTCTTTGATGAAAACAGAGTAGGTCCTGTGAACAGGCACAAGAGAGACCTTAGTGTAGAAGATTTGTTGGCAGACTGCCAGATGAGCTCAATTTGTCAGAGAGTTCTGAATCAATTAGGACAACATCTAAGAGCGGGTGATCTTCGATCCTGGAAGTACTACCTCGATGGAATAAGTGATACTCGGTCATCATTAAGCAGGATTGACAGATCATCTGGTGGAAGGTCAAACATTTATGATGTGGTGAAAAAGGCGTCCACATCTAGTGAACAGGCACGCGATGGCTGGTGGACAGGACCTTTCGGTAAGGAAACCGTCTTTCATGATTTTTAGCGATAGAAGGGAAGTTGCCACACATTGACTATTTTTACGTTGGGTACCGGTAGTTTATATTTAATAGTAGTTATAATGTGTTTCGTCGATAATTAATTTTTATTCTGGAGGTGCTCGATTCTGAAAATTTAAAGCCAGACATGAGTAGCCTATAATTATTTTTGTTTATTGAATATAGTAAGATTTGATTTGTTAAACCCCAAATGATAACCCACGAAGAAGACTTATTTCCAGTGGGGTCCTTTTGGTGATTCAAACGTGCATATTGGCCATATAACACGTGGGACCAACGGCTTAAGCCTGTTTTTCACTTGCGAATTTATTCGCACGAGTCGAAAGCGTCGATTTATGCGCATTCACATCTCTTTCGGCATTTTCGCTTCACCGAAATCGGTAGTTCGAACTGTTTCGAAAAAAAAAAAAAAAAAAAAATGCGCAACCAAACAGAGCTTAGGAACCGAACGGACGCCTTCGATTCGTGCGAATAAATTCGCCTAGTGGAAAAGAGGCTTTAAACGTCTCATCCAAAGACGGCGTGGGTGATTCTTTCAGATGGCTTGCCAAATTGTTCCATATTTTTGTTCCCTTGTATGAAATACTAAATTGCCCCCTTTTTTTTTTAGCTCAGGGCACAGTTTAATCTGTTTCTTGTTTGATAATAATGGAATGAGTCGAAAGTTTTGAATAAAGTGTTAAATGCAGTGGCGGATCTAAGAATTTGAAATAGAGGGGCACTGGGACTTTAACAGATAGAGGGTCATACCACCTCAGCCCCATCATGGTTTTGGCTGAGGTAAGAAAATTGACGATTATGGCACGTATGGCGAAAATTTGAGGAAATAGCTGTACTCTCTATATGACTGGAAATGATACCCTTGGTATGGTAAAATTATCATAACTTATAGTCAAAATAAAGCTCCAACAAATTTCTCATGATCTTTTATAAGCGATTTTCTGCAACCATACAAATCTAATTAATATTATTTGTTATGTACTCTAGTAAAGTAACATTGAAACATTACCTTTGATGTATTTACTGACTTCAAACGATATATGTAGTGATTATTCACCCTCTGCAGACACCATAGCAGTAATATTTACTCTAAATACTTTGCACTACCGTACGTTGACATGACAACGTAGGGACCTCAGTGAGATCCCCAGCAATGGCGGCGGGAATAGAGAGCGCACTTTTCCTAATTGGTCAAATTTCCACATAGTAACATTTATTTTACCTTATTGAGGACACCAATCACTTTAGAAACCTCTGTTGCGAATTAATGTGAAAATTGAATGTCAGCGTTTTATTGAAAAATAGTCCTAGTACCGTTGAACTTCAATTTTCTCATTGGCAATTTAAAAATAAATTGATATTTCAGCTGTTTTGTTCCTGGCGTAAACATCATATAATATGGATTTATTTACATTTACAGTAATTTAAGGGGGTTTTTTTTGTCTGAACCAGGTCGAGAGAATCGATAGCTCGGGAAGGCTTGATTGATTTCCTAATATGATAATCGTTTAAATTTAGTTCGAATGCATACGTCTATTGGCTGGTCATTTCTTGGTGAAAGAAGAAATAATTATTTACTTGCTTTAGTTAAAAAATGCTTGATCCTACCTCTCCTTAAGTTTCACTTTATTGGAAAATATACACAAATATTCTACCAAATCCAGTTCTGCTGTTAATTTACTTTCGAGTTTACCCAGTTTAAAGAACAAATGAATAAATGACTATAAAATATATTTGTATCGTAGGCATCGTTACATGATCATTTCGATAATATTGTTCCTTGTGGATACATGAAGCCAATTCGTCAACAATTTCCTATTTGATATCTATCATTTAAATAGTTTGAGAAACATTTCAGATGAATTCCATTTATTCCCAAAAATCTTTAGCTTACGTAACAAAATCACATGATCAATTGCGCCAGGTGCCAATTAAATCTGAATCGATCAGTTACATTATTTTTACGGCAAAATTCAATGCTCCCCATCCTCGTATTTTTTTATTTAAAAAGTATACTATCAGTCATAAGGTAAAAAATTGAAAATTTTAATTCCACATTTGAATTGCTTAATTTGTATATTTAAATAAACTTATTAACTTAAAATTAAAAACTTTAATTAAAAAAAAATCCATCAATTTTCGGACAATTAGATAGTAACTGTCCTGTATTCGTTTGCATATCCTTAAATTGGCTGGTAGGCCCAATCAATTTAAGGATTTTGTAGTAAAAGTCTGTAAATCGGTGAACTACTTTTTTTTTAGATCTGTTTCTCGTTGGAAGCTAACTATTCAAAATTTTATTTAAATTTTTAAGGTATTTTCCTGTCTGAGTACATTTTCAACAATGTCAGTATTGAAATAACAAAAAATATAATGCAAATACC